ATTCCGGGCCCCCAGTGTGCACGGGAGCACCCAGCTATGTGGGTCGGCGCCCAGGCCCGAGGTGCGGCCGCCCCGTGGAGGAATGTGGACGGGGCTGGACCACGGGCCTCCTCCCTGTCGGGTTGGGAACATCGATGGGGAACAGGATTAGCTGAACGTCTCGCACCACGTCCAAGGATGGTGGTTCCTGTGGACCGGAGGTGGGGCCGGCCTCGGGAGGAAGTGAGCCCGGGCTCTCAGCTGCGGGGCGGCAGCTGGGGGCTTCCCTGCCATCAGGGTGGCGCTGGAGACGCGGGCACCGTATGTAGCTGGGCCTGGGCAGGCGGGTGTTGGTTCATGTCACCAGGCTTTGTATGTGCCAGCCCTTCGTCCAGTGTGTCTGCTGATACTGTGGATCTGCTGTGGTTCTCCAGGGACTGTGGGCACAGGGCCCTGCTCTCTGGTGTGGAAGGGTGGTGCCAGGCAGCTGGTCCCTCACAGCCCAGCCCCATGGTGCTGCTAGGCTCCCGCCACCACGGATGCCGTGCTCCCCAGAGGCAGGGACATCTCATCTATATCTATCTATCTGTATATCTATGTATATGTCATCTATCTATCTATCTATCTATCTATCTATCTATATACATATCCTATATAATAAAAGCCTAGGTGGCGTCACACCCTTGTGCGATGTCATCACAAGATGGCTGCGCTCACGTCGTCACAAGAATGCCATCACAAGATGGCCAGCAGGGGAGGGAAGTTGGGGGCCATCAGGCTGACAGGGGAGGGCAGTTGGGGGCGAGATCAGGCCTGCAGGGGAGGGCAGTTAGGGGTGACCAGGCTGGCAGGGGAGGGCAGTTGGGGGTGACCAGGCTGGCAGGGGAGGGCATTTGGGGGGTGATTGGGCCAGCCAGGGAGTGGTTAGGCGTCAATCAGGCCGGCAGGGGAGCAGTCAGGGGCAATGAGGTAGGCACGCAAGCAAGCGGTTAGGAGCCAGTAGTCCCAGATTGTGAGAGGGATGTCCGACTGCCGGTTTAGGGATTGGGCCTAAAGCATCAGTCGGACATCCCCCAAGGGGTCCCAGATTGGAGAGGGTGCAGGCAGGGCTGAGGGAC